GGTAGTAGTTGTAGTAGAGTTAGTAGCAGTTGCAGAATTAGTAGTAGTAGTAGAAGTTGTAGCTGTATTAGTAGTAATAGTAGTATTAGTAGAAGAAGTATAAATAGTAGTATCAGTTGTAGTAGTAGTAGTAGTAGTAGTAGTAGTAGTAGTAGTAGTAGTAGTAGTAGTAGTAGTAGTAGTAGTAGAAGAAGAAGTAGTAGTAGTACTAGCAGTAGAAGTAGTAATAAAAGTAGAAGTTCTCCTCTCTCGCGGACTTATGCTCGTAAAACCCAAAGCTGACCCCTCAATTTCAGCATTTGTGTAGAGCTTATTGTTTCTGAAAGAAAACTAGTAGTAGTAGTAGTAGTAGTAGTAGTAGAAGCTGGTGTAGTAGAAGAAGAAATATAAGAAGCAGAATAATTAGTAGTACTAGAAGTAATAGCAAGATATATAGCAGTAGCAGCAGCAGTAACAGCAGTACAATAGTAGTAGTAGTAGTAGTAGTAGTAGTAGTAGCAATACTAGTAGTAGTAGTAGTAGTAGTAGTAGTATAAGTAGAAGAAGTAGTAGTAGTAGTAGTAGTAGTAGTAGTAGAGTGAGTGAGTATGGTTTTACGCCGCTTTTAGCAATATTCCAGCAATATCACGGCGGGGGACACCAGAAATGGGCTTCACACATTGTACCTATGTCGGGAATCGAACCCGGGTCTTCGGCGTGACGAGCGAACGCTTTAACCACGAGGCTACCCGACCGCCCTCGTAGTAGTAGAAGAAGCAGTTCTAGTAGTAGAGGAAGAAAAAGAAATGGTAGTAGTAGTAGTCGAACAAGTAGTAGCAGGAGACGTAGTGGTAGTAGTTGTAGTAGAGTTAGTTGCAGTAGTAGAAGTAGTAGTAGTAGTAGTAGTAGTAGTAGTAGTAGTAGTAGTAGTAGAAGTTGTAGCTGTATTAGTACTGAAATAAACTAGTATTATTATTAGTAGTAGCAGAAGTAGCAGTATTAGCAGTAGTAGAAGTAATAGTAGTAGTAGTAGTAGTAGTAGTACAAGCAGAAGCAGAGCAGTAGCATCAATAGCATTAGCAGCAGTAGCATTAGCAGTAGTATAAGTATTATAATTAGAATAACTAGCATTAGTAGCAGCAGTAGCATTAGTAGTAGAAGTAGCAGCATTAGCAGCAGCAGCAGAGTCTGTAGTAGTAGTAGTAGTAGTGGTAGTAGTAGCAGTAGTAGAAGAATTAGCAGGAGCAGTAGCAGTAGTCGAGTGAGTGAGTGAGTGGGTATGGTTTTACGCCGCTTTTAGCAATATTCCAGCAATATCACGGCAGGGGACACCAGAAATTGGCTTCACACATTGTACCCATGTCGGGAATCGAACCTGGGTCTTCGGCGTGACGAGCGAAAGCTTTTACCACTAGGCTACCCGACCGCCCCAGCAGTAGTCGAAGTGGCAGTAGTAGCAGTAGCAGTAGTTGCAGTAGCAGTAGCAGTAGAACAAGTAATAGCAGTAGCAGTACTAGAAGTAGTAGTAGTAGACAAAGTAGAAGAAGTAGCAGTACTAGAAGTAGTATTAGTAGTAGCGATAGTAGCATTAGTAGTAGTAGTGGTATCACAGGTAGCATTAGTAGTAGAAAAAGTAGTAGCAGTAGCAGAGTAGTGGTAGTAGCAGTAGCATAAGTTAAAGAAGTAGTAGCAGTAGTAATAGCAGTAGTAGGATAAGTAGAAGTGGTAGCGGTAGCTGTAGTTGTACCAGAAGTAGTTGCAGTAGCGGTAGTAGTAGCAGTATTATTATTAGTAGTAGAAAAAGTAGTAGCAGTAGCGGTAGAAGTACTTGTGGTAGTAGTAGTAGTCGTAGTAGTAGTAGCAGTAGTAGCAGAAGTAGTAGTAGTAGTAGTAGTAGTAGCGGTAGTAGTAGTAGTAGTAGTAGTAGTAGCAGCAGCAGCAGCAGTAGTAGTAGTAGTAATAGTAGTAGTAGTAGTAGTAGTAGTAGTAGCAATAGAAGTACTACTAGAAGTAGGAGCAGATGTAAAATATGTTAGGCAATATTCAGAGTAACCTTTTTTCGACTATATCTATGAAAAGGGTGATGCCTCACTTCTTACTCTATGGTCTACGTCTGGCCCGTGTAACCATAGTAGTAGTAGTAGTATCAATAGTTGTAGTAGTAGAAGTAGTAGTAGCAGTAGTAGTAGTAGTAGTAGTAGTAGTAGTAGCAGTAGCAGTAGTAGTAGTAGTTATAGCAGCAGCAGTAGTAGTAGCAATAGTAGCAGTAGTAGTAGCAGTTGTAGTAAAAATGGTAGTAGTAGTAGTAGTAGTAGCAGTAGTAGTATCAGTTGTAGTAAAAGAAGTAGCAGTAGTAGTATTAGTAGTAGTAGTAGCAGAAATAGTAGTAGTAGTAGTAGCAATAGTAGCAGTTGATGTAATAGTAGATGTCGGAACAGATGTTAAATGTGTCAGGCAATATTCAGAGTAACCTTCTCTCGATGGACCTGCCCATCGAGGAGGAATGATGGAATCAGCTCGCTAGTCTCAGGACTATATCTACGAAAACCTGTCACCTGTCACCTGTCTTACTCTATGGTCTACGTCTGACCCATGTCACCAATAACTCTGTAATTACATCAATATGTACAGTAACTAAAAAACAACAAATGTGTCACCTGTCTTACTCTATGGTCTACGTCTGGCCCGTGTAACCATCATCTATGTTATTACATTAAGATGTATAATAATGTGTGAATTGGTATTCTATGGACAACAGTTATATGCTACTTTACCTTTCAGACTGCAATCAGAATGGAGAAGGATTTCCCAAAAGGTAAATTCCAGCGTGCTGTCTTTATCCTGGCAACTGTAGGAGTAATCATCTCATTGACGGTAGCCAGGACTTACCAGCCAGGGACATTTTATCTGCCAGCGATAGAAACCTACTACAAACATGGTACATGTCCAAGTGTACTCGAATATATATGGTGGCTGGTTCGTGGGCCACACGTCCGATCACACGGAAAGAGGACGATGATATCGAAGCCTTTTTACTACAAGGCCTCTACGCTGTAAACGGAAGTAATAATTTCGAACTGACGGATAAAAGATGCGGGAACCTGGGCTACTATCCATGGAAGTCAAGTGAGAGAATGGCAGACTGGACAAGAGCACTGTGTAACCCTAGGAGAAGTAACCCTTGTTGTTATAACAACACGTGTCAGATGAAAACAACCAAAGAATGCGTCTGTACGGACTGCTATGACCTTCGACCTCAGTTACATGCTGAATATTCGAAATGGATTCCTAACTATAGCAGGTACATAGTTAATAGTTAACCAACGAACTTACATATATATATATATATATATATATATATATATATATATATATATATATATACGTTCGTTTATTTCTTACATGGCTTATTAATATTATGTACAGCCTCTTTTTGGATGTAACTAAAATGTTCAAGATTTACAAATATTTTCCTATATTTTAATAATGATAACTCCATCAGTAGAATCCGATGTCAGACAAGTCCAATTTATGCACAGGTGGATATTTCCCGCATATGCTCACAATCCTCACGTCAGTTACCTTAAACTTTTCTACCAATACCGATTGTCGTATCTCTCTCGCTTTTGAATGCGATCGTCCGGCCATCGCGTGGATCTACGTTGCCCAGCTACAACTATGGGGAACAACACAGTAGACATTCCACTCTATAAAACTAACGTCATCAAATTTACGTTTGAAATCCTTACACCGTTCCAGGCATCGGTGCACGTTTTATGGTAGACGTGTGAAGGCTATTTGATGAATCAGTGACAAGAATGCAATGTCCGATGCAGTTCCATAGTTTGACTTGTACCTTTGCTTGTTGTGCACCTGGGATCATCGCTATTTGATAGGGAATCATCAAAACATGTTAATGATTTAGTCAGAATCGTACAATGGACTCTGTGATTATGGCTATGTTTCGTGTGTTTTTTTATTCGCTTTAAATTGCAATTAAAACATCAGCGACAAAACCATTTATATCATTTTAAGAAGTTCCAGTGTACCATTCTGATTATAGTATGAGCATGTGTATGTCTAAACAAATACAAGCAAAAATAAAAACACTTTCCATATCCACTAGAAATCCGTGTCACACAGGGTTAAGAACCAGTCATTTTAACATTTAAGCAAATTTTGTCTATAACTAGAAATGGACATTAGGGAACCATGATGCTCCATAATATTGAATAATCAGGATCTGTTCTTGTGAAGATGTCAAGTGAAAACATTTTTCACCCAACGCTGCCTGTGAGCTCCTCCGGGGAGGCACCTATCACTTCTATGGGGACTCCATTGTCAGAATGGTGTTTCTGGCCCTCGTCATTATACTCAAGGGAGATAATCAATATGGCGGACTTCGACCCGATGCACCTGCAGGTATGTAAACTTTTTTTTCTTTTCAATGATTCAATCATAAATAAGGAGATACGATATTGTACCTCCATGGTGCCTGTACTTATTATTGATGAATTAGAACATACAAAATTTGAACATATATCATCAACCATTTGGATGGGAAGCAACCAACAAAGTAATTTTCATATTTCATTCTTAATAAATCAAGCTTGTGTTAGGAATAATAACTTGAGTTACCGCTAAATAATCCTAGCAAAAGAAGTCGTTCTGACACATATTTGTTTTTTTACAGACATTAAGAAAAAATGTTCTGGGATGTATGTTTTTCCAACCCGTAACTGTCGAGCGTATTTGGACTACACTCCAAAACTCTGCAAATGGACGGTAACAGTGCTGTTCCGTCATTATACACAGAGTAACGACGTTCCTAAGATGAGACAAGACGTCAAACGGATTATGGGGAAACCAAAGTCTCTCCTCTTCTTCGGTGCCGGTGCATGGCACCATTTCGATACATTGGTTATGAAAGATTATGCCATGGCTGTAATCACTTTGCTTGAGAACGAAGCTTGGCCGAAGTTGATATGGTCAGGTTTTCATCATTTTGGTCTCTTTCATAGACGGTTTACACCAACATCAGACAATGCTCACGTTGAAGTCTTCAACAGATATATGGAAGACCTCGTGGGAGGGTTCAATGTCTCTGTGTTTGATACCTTCAACATGACTAAAGGAGTGAGGAGCGTGGATGGTGTGCACTATGGCCCTGGGGTCAACCTTGTTAAAGCTCAGATATACTTGAACTATATATTGGAATTACAACGACAAGAAATATGGAATTGAGACATCTCTTTTATGCATGTATATGATGAAATCTTGTATTTGCTGCAAATCGTCATATTTTCGCTTCATTGCTCCATACTCGGGGCGTTGTGAATGTGTGAGCTTACATTATTTTTATTTACAATGAACTTAATTATTTTGTAATTGCATTATTTAAATCATATGATAAACATACCTTTCATAAGCATGGACATTAGGATTAGACCTTTCCAATTGTATAACGTGGTGTGGCAAAGATGTTTTACAAGCAGATATTTTACTTGATATATGTTGGCTTTATCTATAACACAAGTGTCTCTGGAAACTATGTGGACACTATGTACCATGGCATCTTGGATAGGCATTTAGAAGTTGGAATAACATGAATGCATGACACGTTTATATTTTCCACCTGATGAAGGGGGTAACACAGCACCAGCAGTGGTGCCACCAGCAGTGGAGAAGAGTCCTCTTCTTAGACGACAGCGGTTACAATAGCAGATAGAGAGAGAGAGAGAGTCTGGCGACGCCTAGGGAATCATTATTCTATTCGGATGCTTGTGTTGTTGAGGGAGACTCGTGGGGTGGTCCGAGCATTATGGTGTCAGGTGGAATTGGTCTTGCACAGAGTGTAGGCCCTGTGGTCTTCCAGAACATCGGTCCAGGGAGAAGCAATGGTGTCACAGCAGCTCGGTACATTGATCAAGTCTTGAGACCACACGCCATATCTCATTTGGCACCTCGCCGCAACCACGAGTTTAAGCATGATAACGCCCGTGCCCACACTGCGAGAGCAACGAGTGACTTCGTCCAGCAAAATGCCATCAGAACCATGCGGTGGCCAGCCCTAAGTCCCGATTGAAATACCTTTGAGCACCTGTGGGGTGAGATTCAAAGACGGCTGAATAACGTCCGACCAGAGGCGTTTCTCAGAGTGTAGGCTGAAGTGCCTATGGCCATTCCATGTATCGACGTTGAACGGCAGTCATCAAAGCACATGGGGGACACACAAGATACTGACTTGTGATGCCATTTTCTCAGAGACTAGCTAGTGTTGTGTTTCACTTTAAGAAAATTGACACTTTAATTTCAACCTTGATGATCAGTTTTGCCAAGTTTCATCTTTTTAATGTGTCTCAAAGTATGTTTACAGTGTTACAAATAAAGTTTATCATATGTCTATCCATGGTGATATAGTCATAGATGGTTTGCACCAACATCAGACAATGCTCACGTTGAAACCTTTAACATATATATATAGGACCCTGTGGGACCGTTTAATGTCTATGTGTTTGATACCTTCAATATGACTGAAGGAGTGAGCAGCGTGGATGACGTGCACTATGGTCCTGGGGTCAACTTTGTTAAACCTCATACATACTTGAACTATATATTGGAATTACAACATAAAGAAATATGGAATTGAGACGTCTGTTTTATGCATGATAGCATCTGAGTCTCGAGTTAGAAAAGCCTCAAATTTATTTCCATGCTTCGAAAAAGAGACTATTATGGTTCATTAAATCAAACTGAGCCATTGTGTTGCTTGTGCACACAAGACCAGTATACTGTATCATGATGTCTTATTGCAGACGGTTGAATAAAGTGTATTCACAGAGCGTCAATAACATATCAGTTATTATACAGATATGGTGAAAACGTTCAAACATTCCTGTGCCCTTCACACCTCCCCGTCAACCGTTGCAAATACCATTCACATATAATTAATGCAAGCTATGGTTGATACAATGACTGACTCAGAAAAAAGCGGAAAACAAAAGACAGATGTCCGAAACACCTACTTTCTGTATTCCGGTCACTATCATTAATTAGTGGATCTACTTATAAACAAGCTTTTGTAAAAACTGTAAATTTTACATCGCATCGGCAATATTTCAGCCAAAAAGTGATATATGTTATGAAGCAACCTGTCATATAACTTCGACAAAGGGTCCACATCGAACATGTCAAAGAGTAAATTAAAGACATTTCAAGCAAAACTTTAAATATGCTATAAAAAGTAATATATAAAATCTACCAAAATATATCCCAAAGTTGTCAAACTCGGCTCACGTCACCCTGATTTCTCGTCTCGGACATGATAGCAGATATTTCACCCGATATATGTTGGCTTCATCAATAACCAAAGTGTCTCTGGGACCTCGGTGACACAGCAGTACAAGCTTCTGGTTGACTTGTGTTGAAACAGTGTATATAATAAAACGAGGGGACCCTTTGCACCTTGAAGTCTGTGATTGGCATTTAGAAGTTGGAATAACATGAATACATGACACGTATATATTTTTCACCTGATCAAGGAGCGAGAAGTAGCTCTGAAACGTCATGATGAAATAATAAAATAAGTTCCTATGTGCCTATGGAAAGCGGAGTGGAGCTAAAGCAGCCTAAACAAACAGGAGAAACCGAGTTGACTCAAGGCTGAATAGAGTAAGAGGAGAAGCCGAAATAGCATAAAGCAATGGAATATGCCAAGTGGACCTGAAGTAGGTCATAGTGATGGAATAAGACAAGTGGGCCTGAAGTAGGTCACAGTGATGGAATATGCCAAGTGGGCCTTGAGTAGGTCATAGTGATGGAATATGCCAGGTGGACCTGAAATAGGACATAGTGATGGAATATGCTAAGTGGATCTGAAGTAGGTCATAGTGATGGAATATGCTAAGTGGACCTGAAGTAGGTCATAGTTATGGGATCAGACAAGTGGACCTGAAGTAGGTCATAGTGATGAAATATGCCAAGTGGACCTGAAGTAGGTCATAGTGATGGAATATGCCAAGTGGACCTGAAGTAGGACATAGTGATGGAATAAGACAAGTGGACCTTAAGTAGGTCACAGTGATGGAATTGCAGACGGTTGAATAAAGTGTATTCACAGAGCGTCAAGAACATATCAGTTATTATACAGATATGGTGAAAACGTTCAAACATTCCTGTGCCCTTCACACCTCCCCGTCAACCGTTGCAAATACCATTCACATATAATTAATGCAAGCAATGGTTGATACAATGACTGACTCAGAAAAAAGCGGAAAACAAAAGACAGATGTCCGAAACACCTACTTTCTGTATTCCGGTCACTATCATTAATTAGTGGATCTACTTATAAACAAGCTTTTGTAAAAACTGTAAATTTTACATCGCATCGGCAATATTTCAGCCAAAAAGCGATATATGTTATGAAGCAACCTGTCATATAACTTCGACAAAGGGTCCACATCGAACATGTCAAAGAGCAAATTAAAGACATTTCAAGCAAAACTTTAAATATGCTATAAAAAGTAATATATAAAATCTACCAAAATATATCCCAAAGTTGTCAAACTCGGCTCACGTCACCCTGATTTCTCGTCTCGGACATGATAGCAGATATTTCACCCGATATATGTTGGCTTCATCAATAACCAAAGTGTCTCTGGGACCTCGGTGACACAGCAGTACAAGCTTCTGGTTGACTTGTGTTGAAACAGTGTATATAATAAAACGAGGGGACCCTTTGCACCTTGAAGTAAAACTGATCAAGGAGCGAGAAGTAGCTCTGAAACGTCATGATGAAATAATAAAATAAGTTCCTATGTGCCTATGGAAAGCGGAGTGGAACTAAAGCAGCCTAAACAAACAGGAGAAACCGAGTTGACTCAAGGCTGAATAGAGTAAGAGGAGAAGCCGAAATAGCATAAAGCAATGGAATATGCCAAGTGGACCTGAAGTAGGTCATAGTGATGGAATAAGACAAGTGGGCCTGAAGTAGGTCACAGTGATGGAATATGCCAGGTGGACCTGAAATAGGACATAGTGATGGAATATGCCAAGTGGATCTGAAGTAGGTCATAGTGATGGAATATGCTAAGTGGACCTGAAGTAGGTCATAGTTATGGGATCAGACAAGTGGACCTGAAGTAGGTCATAGTGATGAAATATGCCAAGTGGACCTGAAGTAGGTCATAGTGATGGAATATGCCAAGTGGACCTGAAGTAGGACATAGTGATGGAATAAGACAAGTGGACCTTAAGTAGGTCATAGTGATGGAATATGCCAAGTGGACCTGAAGTAGGTCATAGTGATGGAATAAGACAAGTGGGCCTGAAGTAGGTCACAGTGATGGAATATGCCAAGTGGACCTTGAGTAGGTCATAGTGATGGAATATGCCAGGTGGACCTGAAGTAGGGCATAGTGATGGAATATGCCAAGTGGACCAGAAGTAGGGCATAGTGATGGAATATGCCAAGTGGATCTGAAGTAGGTCATAGCAATTAAATATGCCAAGTGGACCTGAAGTAGGTCATAGTGATGGAATATGCCAAGTGGACCTGAAGTAGGACATAGTGATGGAATATGCCAAGATGACCTGAAGTAGGTCATAGTGATGGAATATGCCAAGTGGACCTGAAGTAGGTCATAGTGATGGAATATGCCAAGTGGACCTGAAGTAGGTCATAGTGATGGAATATGCCAAGTGGACCTGAAGTAGATCATAGTGATGGAATATGCAAAGTGGACCTGAAGTAGGACATAGTGATGGAATATGCCAAGTGGACCTGTAGTAGGTCATAGTGATGGAATATGCCAAGTGGACCTGAAGTAGGGCATAGTGATGGAATATGCCAAGTGAACCTGAAGTAGGACATAGTGATGGAATATGCCAAGTGGACCTGAAGTAGGGCATAGTGATGGAATAAGACAAGTGGACCTGAAGTAGGGCATAGTGATGGAATAAGACAAGTGGACCTGAAGTAGGGCATAGTGATGGAATATGCCAAGTGGACCTGAAGTAGGTCATAGTGATGGAATATGCCAAGTGAACCTGAAGTAGGTGATAGTGATGGAATAAGACAAGTGGACCTGAAGTAGGGCATAGTGATGGAATATGCCAAGTGGACCTGAAGTAGGGCATAGTGATGGGATAAGACAAGTGGACCTGAAGTAGGGCATAGTGATGGAATAAGACAAGTGGACCTGAAGTAGGTCATAGTGATGGAATATGCCAAGTGGACCTGAAGT